AGTTTACATGTAAAGCAAACAAGAAATGCGATGGAAAACTATTAAGACAGTGCAGAAGTAAACCTAAGTTTGTGCTCCCTGTTCACCCAGAAGTTTCAGTGTGCTTTTTGAAGGGCATAGTAATGTGGCTTTTGCCTTAATAGGCAACAAAGTAGCTCGTAAATTGAGATCTTTGATTTATTTTTTAGACATTATTTGACAAGATTGTCAGTTACCTATTTCAAATTTCCTGAAAGGCACGTCAGTAATTTGCTTTTTATAATGCTTCCTTTAAGCAAAGGGGTAATCTTTGCTGAAGATTTAAGAAAGATACCAGAAGTTTGGTAGCTCGTGCTAATTGGGAGCAGGTAGCTAATTATGTTACGGGGTGCTGGGGTTTTATGCTCTGTTGCCAAGTCAGCGAACTACAAAACCTAAATGAAAGATATCCACAAACTGCATTTGAAATAGTGTTCAGGTTTACAAATGCTTTCCCAGTAGTATCACAGTTCTTTAACCCATAAACTTGGAATTATTGTGTGTTCTGTCTTGGCCCACTGTGTGTAGTAATTCTAATCACATACTCCATTTCTTCTCCTGTGCGATGCAGCTAGGAGCAGATTGCACAGGTAGACTCCATCTCCTTCCAGTCAGTTCATTGTTAGCATGTTAATTTTAAAAAAGCATGAGAATCCAAGGCTTCCAAGAGAGAATTTTAAATGTAGTGAGGAGACCTGAAAGCAGCATTGGTCACAAAGTTCTTTTGAAGCATTGTGTAGCATGACTCTTGACAGTAATCCCTGTTCGTGCTGCAAAGTTCAAAGTTAATGTTGCTTTAGCCATCTACCTCTATCATCCAAGAGACATCAAAATCTATTTTTCGTTTTAAGTTGCTATAGTAGAAAGACCTCCTTCCTTTCAAGAAAGGTGTGTGTAATTTTGTGACTGTATTAAAAGAACTAGTATCTGAGCACATGGCTGGAGAAATCTAGGTTGTTAAGGTTTGTCTTTTGCAGACACAACGTCATTTTGCCAGGTACCATGTCATGAAAACACTGATTTTGTGTATTTCTATTTATAGCTGGGTCACCTTTACAGTAGTCACCTTGCTGGCTTCTCTTAAGAATGTTATGAGCTAATAGTAGTAAAACAAATGCTAGTGTGTGTATATGTGTGTGCATGATTTAGAACGGCAGTAACAATTTCAAAGGTTATACACATGGTATTAAAATCAAGCTGCAAATATTTTCCTTAACCTCATTTCCTACAATATGTAAGAGCTTATGTGGCCTTTGCATAATTCCAACACTACTTATTGCTCAGGGATAGAATGGTTTCTCTCCTGAACTCATGCCTTCAGCTGAGCACTTTGGCAAACAGTGATACAGGCTTTATCTTGGAGGTCAAGGCTTCATGTTAATTAGGAGCTCATCTTGTGAAACATCAGATGCCAGATGGAGTTGTTCTGAAAGCACTAGCCAGTTGACACTGAAATGGTAAAACTGCTTCTGGTGGAGCTGAGTGTAAACGAGATGGATGTGGCTGTAAACATCTCGCAACTGGGCTGGCAGCTCAACAGACACTGCGGCAGTAGCTGGACCTTCTGCATCCTGAACCACCACCTTTTTTTGTTATTTTATCGTCCCAGCTGTGCCTGGGGCTATCACTGAGGTTTCCCTCATGAATCACTGATGAAAAGCTAGAACTAGTTTTATACATAATTTTTCACTCATGTTTTCTCTTAAAACATTTCCTTGTGGTCAGAATTTTAGTTACACACTCAGTACACATGAAACTGCATGCAGTAGTTTATGGGCATTTAGTTTGCAATTGGATTGGTTTTGCTTCTGCTTTCATGGCAGGATAATCGGTACTCCTAAGCTGGCCATTTCCTGAAGATAAGCTTGGTGCTAGTCATCTTACTCTCTGATTGCAAGTCCTCATTGCTGTAGTCTCTGTGCAGTCCGTACTTAAACTTTATAGGCTATGGAATTGTTAACATGCACACAGAAGGGAAAAGGACAGAGAAGTCAGGCAGGAGTGGAGGGTGCCCAAGCATCAATAGTTTCAGCACCTTTAGTGCCTCCAGTCTGCTACAGAAAAGCACATTTTTCTCAACCTGTTGAATGGAAGAAGCATAAGTGAAACTATAAAATGCAACTGTTATTCCAGTGGGTGCAAAGGCATCAGTACAAGCCTGTATAAAGTAGGCCACAATTGGATGTATTTACTTTATCCTGTTGATATGGATCCAGTTTTAAATTACTGTAAAAAAATGGCTGTGTTTAATAACAGTGGTAGATTTATCTGAGATATTGTGAAAACACACCTTTACAACTGTGGTGGTTTGTGTGTGTGTGTGTGTGTGTGTGTGTGTGTGTGTGTGTGTGAAGACATCTGAAGTGGAGTTTTGGTTCTGCTTTCACAGCAAATTTGTAACCAGTATACTTCAAAACCAGAACAATAAAAAAATGGCTGTTTATTCAATGTTGTCTAGTTAGGTAAGTTTGAAAAAAAGATGTCATTGTATAAAGAGTGCAGAATATTCCACAGACCTGAATAGTGATGTTGATCTAAAACTGCTTATTTTGAATAACTTCTCTTTTTAAGTGTTTGCATACACTAGTGCTCTTGGAACAGATTCTTGCTTGACCAAAGTACTCCTATTCAGTTTTGTGGCATGGCTTATATCTATTCAGCATAAAATTTTGTTAGGTGTAAAAATGATATGGCATTGATAAGTCTTCTTATTCATTGGGGTTCACGAGAGCTGCCATTCTGATTTGTTTTCATGAAAATAGTCTTAATTCTTACAGGTAACTTCACCTGTGCCTCTAGTACCTAGAGAATTCACTTCTAAACAGTTAAAGCTTTCACTGGTTATGTAGAAGTGGAACTATCAGTAAACTAGAGGAAAAAAATGGCACACCCTAACCTACTAGATTAATTCATACGTTGGATAGTCTAGCGGATAGTGTCCCTGCCTGTGGCAGGGGTGATGGAACCAGATGATATTTAAGGTCTTTTTCAACTTAAACCATTCTATGATACTATTGAAATAAGCAGACCAATTACACTTTACCTGGAAGTTCCACCATTCTGCAAAATAGCTTTTGTTTGCCATTATTAGTGCACAGTTGTCCCATTTATACACTGAAGTCTTTAGGCCAGGGCACTGCTAATGTGTGCATTTAAGCAAATTTCAAATACTTAGAACTGTAGTATCGTCATGTACTTCACAGAATAAATTTGGAAGGAAAAAAAGGAAATTATTTCCTTCTTCTTATATTGTTTCTTGTCTTAAATCTGCTAAAATATAAGCATTTTTAACAATACATGAAATGAATAGGTATTTCCAGTTTTTTAAATTTGTAAATGCAACAGTTGTTACTGAACAAATAGGATCTTCCCCAGTTTTTTTATTCCCCCTCTTGCATCTAAGCCACAAAAAGGTGAGTACATTAAAAAAGTACTAGATGCCTGGAGTAAGGACACCTTTTTAATAAGCCTAATAACGGAGAGGAGATTGTACACTGCTTAATTTTTGTGATTAGAGTTTAAAATGTGGGATCTGAACTCAAGATTTTGCATTGAATTGTTCATTTCAGGCATGCAGGGGAGAAAGTGGCTCTTTCCATCCTCATCTGGAGCTGGTGCAGAATAGAATTACCATAAACACATAGCTTTCCAACCTCCTCAGCTTCTCTAAGAGCAGTGATTCCTCATGGTCCGTGTCCATAGCTTCAGCAGAAATTGTGGGTTTAACAAGGTAATTAAACTTCCATGATGTTTAATCACTGAAGTGTAAATACAGGTTCCTACAGATGATCCTGAATTCAGTCCCCCGTAAATATGGAGGTAATAACATATTTTTCTGGATGAAAAGAGCTCTTTTTTTCAGAAATAAGAAATGGCCTGGAGCAGCTAGAATCCTGTGCCATGGACTCTGGAATTGAAGTCAGGTGTTGGTATTTCCTCTTTCCCTCATTTTAGTTCAAGCCCAAGGTAAGGGATTACAGTTTACTCTCTATTTGTATTTATCTCAATAAGCTACCTTTAAAACCCGGTGTAACTGTGGGAGATGGGAAACATGAAACAAATTTGACAGTTCATTTCTCATTTGTAAGGATGCACAGAATTTGCAGTGGGGAAGAGAGAGAGGCAGGTTTACTGGAGTGCGCTAGGAGGTGGTACACTAGAGATTACAGTGTTGAAATGCAATTTACAGATTGCAAGCTTTACAGAAAAGGTAATTCTGGAAGGACTGGCGTACGGCCTATAATGGCAGTCCTCTCACAGAAAGCCAAGCTTCCTGCACAACTTATTTTTCTATTTGTGGCAGAGGAAAGGGGCAGTCCATTTACAACTGAATTCATACAAGGAAACTTGAAATTGTATGTGTTCTTTCAGTCTATAGTTTTATTAGGTGCATACTTTTAAATCTTTTTTGTCAGTGAAAAGGTTCTATCTGGTGACAAGTGTTTATATTTCTTATGGCTGCCTTGTAAAGATTCAAAAATGTACAGTAATGAATTTCTTAGCATGGAATAAGGAGTAAGATTTCTACAACTGGTAAAGATTTTGATGTGAGCTGGTTTTTAAAATCTTATAACAGATTAGTCACTTAAATAAAACCTTCCTTGCCTTTAAGCAGTGTCACTGATTTTTCTTACCAGTGATGTGGGAAGTATTGGATCATCATTTTACATGTCCTAGTAGCCAGTGGAAACATTATTAATAGAGGCCATTTAATACATCCGGCTATCTGAAATAATACATTGGATCTTGACATCTCAAGAGGAACAAGGGTTGGAGCTTTATGAAAAGTCACGTGAGAAAATATTTCAGTAATGAGACACCATCTTTGTGAAGGCTGTATAGTACTTTCAGTATATGCAAAGAACATGCTACTATTCCATATAGAAAGGGGTTTAAGAAAAATACAACACAAAACACATGCATGAAAATGACCTCAAGATATACCAAAAACTAAAGCTTTCAGACACCTGAAAACCTGGAAGTTGGAGTTGGTTTTGTGTTTCTTTAATTGAAATATTCTTTCAATATTTTGAAACACACCAGTTTGACAATAAAGAAGAAAACTCAGGAGCAAGTTTAAAATCAGTACTTACTCGTAAATCAGAACTGAAAGGGACTGCTTCCAATGTTTATACTTAAAATCCTTTTAGTAGTTCCAGTTAAAACTCTGCATCTCAAATAGTATCAAATAGTTTCCAAAATCAGTATTTTGGTTTAAGGTTCTTCTAAAGAGTGAATGTAATCTGACAAACTAAAGCTGCTGCCATGGGAAATAGCCCTGGGGATGAATTTTAGAAGCTTGAGAAATCTTTGCTTTCATTTGAAAGACTAAACTTTATTAAACTGAATTACCTACCAAAAAAGGCTTGTCAAGTGAATGTTACTTAAAAAAAAAATAAAATAAAAGCAGTTAGAAGCAAAATACAGGTATCAAATGCTTAGTAGACTTCATCACATAAAATACATGCACTCTGATATTAGCCAATAACAGCTGTTGTAAGAGGTTACATTAATTATAGTAATTGATTTCTGAATATAACTAAGACAGATGGTATAGTAAAAAAGCAATGCTTAACTGTCCCTATGCTATCTAAAACAGCAGCAAGAAATGACAGTTGCTCTGCTTTGTCTGAAACCCAACTACATAAAATGGGATTAGTCAGGCTTATCTAATAACAACCCTTAAAGCCATGAATTAAGAGTCCTAATGTGGCTCCTCTCTTGAGGAGTGAGTGAGTGACTCCACAGAAACCTGTTGCCTTGGAACGGGAGTTGTGGTCACAACTCAAGCCACTATTGTTTCATTTTGGTTTGGGTTTGTTCATATACAGAAAAAAAATGTTAGGCTTTCAAAATAATGAACCGGTACTTTCAGTATGCAAAGTACTCACAATTGTAACTCATGGCAGTTGGATATCAGTCTACTACTATTATCTATGATCATCCTTCCTTAGTCTGTGGCCCTTGCTCTGGCCATTCCTACTGGTCAGTTCAACATAGGTTTCAAAGTACTTACTGTCTTATGAAAGTCACATTCAAGATGGTACCTCATCTCAGCAAGAGAAATACACAGTTGTACAACTCTGATTCTCCTGTTCACTTGAAAAGCGAAAGCAATGGAAGTCCTGACCTACCTTATCAGGAAAGATCATAATTGTAATGCCTTGTTCAATGCATAGAATGCACCCTTTCGAGTCCTATACAGAGCTCTCCTTTGAATGTGCTCATAAACTAACAGTAGTTACATCTCTAGGTACCAAGTGCAGCATGGTGTTTCTTCATTTGCCTTCTGATAGCTTGAGAAAGTCTTTGAGGTTGATGCACAAACTTTATGCCATTAGACAGTAGTAGGTTGATACTGCATGTTGCCTGCAGAAGAATAATAAGACTAACATTAGCAGCCTGAAGTCAGTAAAGTTAAATTAACTGGTTGTCACACAAATTGCTGGAAAACTGTTAGATGGAAGTGAGGACGAGGTCTGGGACCTGTATGCATTCACTGTATAAAAGTTCTAAACACTAGCAGGAAAATACTTTATACCTACAGTGAGCATAAATAGCAGTACACAAATGAAGTACTAAAATACTTTAATAACAGGAGCATTTCTTATGATATCTAATTCATTAAAATGAAAAATATCAGAACAATATGTGGAGCTGGCAACTATAAACATTTCAAAACCAAAAGTTTGTTTTTTCATGGAAAAGATGAAAAGGGACCTGTAACACCAAAACCCACAGCAACTGATACCAGAACAGAAAGGCAAAAGTCAAAAAAAATTATTCCAGTAGACAACCTACAAACCAGCAGGGACAGAGCGCACTGCATGCACCTACACATGCAGTAGAACTGGACCAAACTGCCTAGTGGAAGCACTACACATCACTGCTTAAAGCTTCAGTCAAACATTTGAAACTGGTGTAATTTTTCCTGAAAAGTTACAGCCATCAACATTGTACAACAATCAATATCCTACCCCTATATTTGTTGCTAAAATAGGACATAGTGTTCAGGATTTAACTTTAACAAAAGGAATACTTCCAGTGTAATGGGTGAAGATATTCATGTCACAATAGAGATATCAGTGAAGATAATAGGCATTTACCTGGTTCAGTGAACTGACACTTAAAGTGATGTTTAGAAACTTACTTCCCATCCATTTAGGTACAATTGCTCTGTTTAAAAATGCTAGCAGTGCAGGTATCAGTTGCTCTTACTGTGATAGCTAGTCTTAACTGCTGAGACAATGCTAGGGATGGAAAAGAAAGGCTGTAAAATTAGACAGCTGAGGGTAATAGTTTGTTCTGTCATGCTTTGTGATCTTCATTAGTAATCAGTGAGAACTGAGGTTGAGTGACAAAGACATTAGTACCAGTAGTTTTCTGATCTGGGTGAGAAAAGCTGCTGTTTGAACAGAAGCCCAACTTCTATGCAGACGCACAAGGTTTCACTAATCCACAATGTAGAGGTGAAATTTTCCAACTGCACAATGATCTGCTGTGGCAGAGACAGCCGCAGTGAATCTAAGGGAAGAACCCCATGGTTCTGCATAATACTTTAAAGAGCATGAGTTAATAAGGGTTTCTCTCTCCAAACAGCAGGTTTTCTCCCCACAGATGCATGCAGGTGTAGACAAGGTAAATGAATAACTACTTTACCTGGTTGATATTATCTTCAGTTACGAATGAGAGAAACTGTCATATCACTAACAGATGGGAGATATTAGGAGTGAGATTTAGTGAACTTTCAATGGATAGGATCATTAACTTAAGATTTAACCTATCTAGAAATGGTCCCACCGGTAAAAATCGAACTTTTTGAATTATGAAGAATTTTAAGCCCTTGCTTCTTCGTAAATAGAAGTTCTTAATGCTAGCCCTCTCTAGTGGATTTTAGGTGCTTGACATCAAGCATTCTAGAGAGAGGAAGTAGTTTTGGGAATTGCCCTGTGACAAGACTTCTGACCTTTGGTTTTTACTGTGTTAATATCTAATTCAGAATGACATAACCTTTATAAACAGAGCAGCCTACCCCCTCATGGTAGTTGTGTGTACCACCAAGGTGTTAAGAAGCTTCTGCAGCCTCTAAATTTTTGAGTTATGGACACATAGACTATCTGTTAATATAATGCTACACAGTAAAAGGATTTTCTTACAAATATGCAAGCACCAATGACAGTGTCAGTACAATGGAATTCCCTCTCCCCCTCCTCAGCCTGGACTGGCACCTCTTTTAGATGAAGGCAGGGAGGTACTCTTCTCACACAGGATGAAGGTAGGCTCTTGCTGGGAAAATTCTGACTTCCACAGCAAGAAACCTGAAGACAAGAGGAGCTTTTTACAGGTTTTAGAAGCTTCAAGTCCAGCTGCAGATTTAATCTGCACAGGTGTCTTGAAGAAAGAAGGGCTCTGCTACATTACAGCTGAGAAAGTTCTGCAACTGTTTCTCATCCTGTGTTACAAGGACCACATAGCCTGCAATTGGCGATGTCTGAGTGGGAGGTGACCTATTCCTAGTTGGGGGCCAGTATTTACCTCTCCTCTTGCACAACGGCATCATCAAATGCTTGGGAGATACGCTGCAACTGGCAAATCCCTGAGGAGATCAGCTCCAACTCGCAGTCAAACTCTCTGGAAACAGAATGGTCATTACTAAAGATGAGACAGGACAGGCTGACACTACCCAAGCCTCTATCCCTAAAGTAACAACTCTCATTGCCTCCAGACTTAATCCAGAAAAATTTAGGGCTGTAGAAACCTTGCTTTTGATTCCACTCACCAACAGCTTCACATCTGCATTCATCCCCAAGAAAGCTATCTTCCAATTCAGATATTGGGTTCAGATTCACAAGGCTTTGACTCAGCTTCTAGCTCTGACATTTCTTATGTGACTTTGACCAAAACAAAAACCTATGTTGCACATTATGAATTATTTCCCTAGCTCACAGCCTTTTATCTAAATTGGGTTACATCTTTGAGGCAAGAATCTCTCTACAAAGAGCTCAGCGTAAGTGCAGCTATTTCATGTATGTTTGCAATACAAATAGCAACTTTGGAAAAGTTAAAGATAAGTAGGAGTGAGTTGCATTGAGAGCATTTTTCTTTACCAGAAAGTCATTAACAAAGAATGAGGGTCTGTCTCTAGTGCCTGATGGGGACTGGTGCTGAATAACATGGTGTAAACTTAACCAGTGGGAAAGGGATTTAAAAAAATTCTTGTCACAGCACAAAGTTAAGTTTCATATTTCAGCTTTATGCAGTGCTCAGTCCCTGTCTGTACAGGATCTGTAACTACTTTCCTAATTATTCAAACAGCACAGCCTTTCAGGGAAAAAAGATAGCAACCTTCATCTCCTGCCCTACACAATGCTCTAATCACAGGAATAAAAAAAAAAAAAGGAAAAAAAGAAGTTTACAAAAGAATGTGGCTCACATCTTTCTGCTGGCAGATGCAGGTGATGAATAAGGACTCTTCAGTGCTGCTGCTCTTCTTGATCTCCGGAGAGAGACAGCATCTTTACCAAACCAGGATGAGAAACCCCTTCGTTCTCTATGTTCTGACACCCATGCTGGCCCAAGCAAGGCTCTTTTGTTGGATCTTGTGCTGCCTTTGGAATTGGCTGCTGGAATAACACTCTTCTTATGGCAAGGGCTTCGAGGTGTAGTGCTTCTTTTCTTGGTAGAACAACTTCTGCTGATGGATTCAACTGGAAAGGTCACCATTGAGTCTACTGGACTTTGGCAAGACTTCTGTATTTTCTGAAAGCAGCATTAGACATGTTATGCTAAACAATCTCAGCCTGGAGTAGAATAGCAAGGAACATTTGAGCTGAATCCCTAGCTTTTATTCTCAAATCAGGTTTAGTCTAGCATAAATGGTCTCAACCCTCTGTACCCATTTGCACTGGAAGAGTTATTTGCTCCCACAGTCCTTGGAACGTGTCAAGGACTTCAGATGGCACTGGAACAGAGCTCCTGCTGCTCTTATGCAGGAAAGAGGCAGGTGCCCTAGCATATACTAGAGGCACTTAAAAAAAAACCACAGAGGTCTCCACCAAAGGAAAGTGCAAGCTCAAGTTTACTACCCTGCTACCATCTAGCAGATTTTGTCAGTCCAAATTTAGATTGACTAGAATGAAGAACATGCTAATAAATAGTATGGGTGCAGGAAAAGGAGTGCAAGCAATGGCAGATTCTACCCACTTTCCTCTTTGTGAAGGCTGCTCTGCCATACATGATGCCATACAGGAGGGGAAAAGCATTAATTAGCAATAAATGTTTTGATGAAATGCATCTCATACGTTTTGTTTTTTCCTTCCTCCTTGTTCTGCCAGATGCATAATTTGCCTACCTGTACTTTAGCAAGGGTATTAAAGATTTTACTAGTTAGTAGCTATGAGTAGCAACAGTGTGCAAATGTGTGAACAGTCTCTGGAATACAGCATTCTGTACAAAGTATAGAAATCTTAGTACTGAAGTTGAAGCAAAACCTAAACTGTTATCTACACCCCACTGCAAAGGCAGACTACCTGGGACACTGTTCCAAAAGCATTTTTTGCTGTTCTTTTAATAAAGAGATTGGCACTTCTGTCTTGCTCTCAGTTTTCCAAGTAGAGGTCTTAGGAACATTCAGCTGTACCTGCTTTAATGGTACTCGCTTCCGTAAAGACATGCAGATGGAATTGAGAGAAGTGAAGGAAGCCCTTCTCTTGAATTTGTCAGGTACAGGGCTCTCATTCTCATCGAAGTCAGCTAGGAGCTGGTGTTTTCGCCAGGCCATCGTTGCCTTTACATTTTGGAGCACAGATGCCATCTTGCTCCAGTTCTTGGTCAGCCTTATTTCTAAAACAATCAGAACGACACCAACAGCAAGGGACAGAGCAGCGTTAAAAAGGAGAAATTGAAACTGTTGGAAAATATATTGTTCCTGAAGCAGTACATTCAAAGCTGAGCAGACTTTTTACTCGGAGGCTTGAAGGAGGGCAGCGCTGATGTCTACAGCTACTCGGGTCTATGCACACCCATGACAAGAACTGATGCAAGCTGCAGTCCGGCCGCACCGCCCAAAGGGCGCAGAGCGGGGCTCTCTCGCCGAGCACCGCCGACCGCGTCCTCCCGGCCGTGTCCCGCGCTCTGCCCCGACCCGCGGCTACGTTCCCCGCGCTCGCTGCCGACAGCTCCGCGCCCCGGGAGCTGGCACAGGGCGGCCCCTCCCTTTTCTCGCCAGGGCCGGTTAAAGAGCCAGTCCAGCGCCGGTTGAAGAACCAGGGCCGGTAGAAGAACCGGCGCCGGCTGAAGAAGAACCGGCGCCGGCTGAAGAAGAACCGGCGCCGGCTGAAGAAGAACCGGCGCCGGCTGAAGAAGAACCAGGGCCCGCCCGCCGGCTGCTGCTCGGGGAATACTCACCGACACGACAGCCACGGCCCCGGCACCGCCGAGTTTGAACGACGCCGCGGCCCCGCGCCCATTGGCTGTGCCCCGCACTCGCAGGGGCCGTAACGCCCCTCACGCCTGCGCCGTGGGAGTGGCGGGAGGAGCAGGCGTGGCGTCACAAAGTGGGCCGGGCTCCTCAGCGCTGCCGGGGCGCGGGGCGGGGTTCGGGCGCTGAGGTGCGGAGTGGGGGTGAGCGGCGCGGGAGGTGCGGGAAGCTGAGTGCGTGCTTAGCCCGGCCCCGAGAGCGGAGCTGGTAACCTGGTGCCTTGCGGTGGGTTACTTGTGTCGGCTGCCACTGCCCGGTGGTCTTCTGACCTGCCAGCCCCGTGGTTAGAGCCCAGTGACTGAATGTCCTGCTTGAACCGACGGATGGAGCACTTTATGTGGCCTGTTACTTTCAACAGGGACTGTGCCTTAATCTATGGAAGGCAGGGCACTGCCTCAAACAATTGCCATGGAACAGACCCCCCAGAAGGATAAAAAAAGTCATTTGCACTGGTTTTGCACCAACAGCACCGTTCAGATGTGAGCAGCCCAAAGCACTGGATACTTTTAAGGCGCTATGCATAAGGCCACAAAACATTATCAATTACAGGTGATGCTAAACAAAGGTATCTGCAGGCTGTGGCTGCTCTGTCTGCAGTTGGTACCATTTCACTGCTTAGCTAGACTGAAGGCCAGAAAGTTAAAAGATGTGTCTTGTGCTTGTTCCCTGTTTGGTTATGTTTGGTTTTGTTGTTTGTGGGGTTTGTTTTTGTTTTTTGTTTAGGTTAACTATAGTTTAGACCCAAGAGCTTGTTTGACCCTGGTATCTTAAGTACAGAAGCAAAGAAAGGGTTGTTATTTTGAATGTGAAGAAGTAAACTTTCAACCATTTGCTTGGAAGCCTGTTCTGTTGGGAATGGCAAGAAATCTACCCACAGCTTTCTTCATCTAGGTTTGGCTCAGCACTCAGAAGAGAAGTGAAAAACTCTCTTCTCAATGGAAGATGATTGTGAACCTGAGCATAGCTCCTGGGCTCATTTACCTGATGTCTGTTTGAGGCACATCTTCCACTGGTTAGATGACAGAGACAGATCTCGGGCTGCCTTGGTGTGTAAGAAATGGAGTTGGGCCATGTGCTCAGGATCCCTCTGGAGAAGAAGAATCATCACATTCTATGGCCGACAGTCAAGAGCACGGACACTGGAGTTTCAAAGTGCGCTGTGGTATGTCAAGAAATTTGGCAAGTATTTGGAGCACCTCAAGATCAAATTATCAAATCCTTACAATAGTGCCTTTACCCGGAAATTTCAAGTGACTATGAGAGGTCTTCTTTCACATCTGGGTAAGTGTAACAGTCGCCTAGTGTCCCTGAGCATCAAGTACCTGGAATTAGACTGCTTGAGCTGGAAAAATACGGTCAGGGCTCAGTTTATCAAGAACTTAGCTACCTTCCTGAAAAGAATGAGCAAACAGCTTGATTATCTCAACTTAAAAGGAGCAAGAGTAACTTTGGAAGAAGGCTGTGACCTTCTAAATTCTCTGAGCTGCGTGACAAATAAAAGCTTTGTCTCTGAAATCAATATTGAGGATTACTTCAGTCTCCACCTTCCTGTCTACAGCAGCACCTTGTTCCACCAGACTATGTCCAAGTTCCACAGCCTGGTCATCCTGACTTTTAATTATAACTGCATCTCTGATGAGCTGCTGGACATCCTTCAAGAGCACAGCGCACATTCCCTGTGCACCTTGAATATCAAATGTCATATCCGTGACCCACATGGACAAGTAGTCTTGGGAATGTCGTGGGCAAACCTGGCTAAGAGAGCCCCAAAACTGAAAGTGAACTTCTTCTTTGAAAGAGTGATGAAGCACGATCACCTAGCCAAGATCCTGCTAGTGGAGATCCCAGTAAGGAGCATCAGTCTACGGAGCTGCTATTTCAGTAACCCAGACTGGACAATGAGACCTACCCTCACCAACCTCCTTCCAGCCTATTGGTGTGTTCTGCAGGTAAGGGAAGCAATAATGACACCTTACTGCAGAGTCACAAAGCTGAGCAAAGTAATCATATGGGCTCTCTGCATGACAGCAGTCATCAGTAGGAATTCCTGACCTCTGTTTTTTTTCAGAGGGTAATTTTCATAAGTGAATCATTCTGGTGCTCCAGCTATAGTCTAGTTCAGGTAGTCATCCTTGTCCAGTTACAAACCCCATTATGCTAGTCTTTGCTGTCAGGCTGATGTCAGGTTGCCCTCAAAAAGCTAAACCATGAGAAGTACAGGTGGTTGTAGTATCAGCTGTGAGCAAAAAGAACCTTTCAGGCAGGAAAATGTCATTCTTGTAAGAGCCTTAGGCTATTCTGGTTAGACACCTTCATGTTTGGTAACTGATAAGTTTGTAATCCTTTCATATTTTTCTGAATCCCACCCTTTTGCAGGGAATGTGCATATGAGGAAAATAGTCTCTACGACTTGTTTGCTTGCAGTGCTGTAGCCTGCAGCAACCTACACTGATGGCTCTGCTCCATTTTGGCAGTGCACAAATGTCTTACAGCACACGTAAATTAACTGGTGTCCATGTGAAAGTACCAAGGATGTGTCCCCAGAGGTGTACAACACCTGACCCATATAAATGAGCATCAGGTCTTTGTATACCTGAGGGAAGCACGTGGTCTTATACCCAACTGTTGCTGATAGCATTGTAGAGTTTCCAGTAAACACAGAGATCTGTAAAGCTTTCTAGGAACTGTTTTTCAATCTGCTGTCATAGCTGGGATAATTTCCAATATGTCAAATCAGATCATGGTGTGAGCTGTCGGTGCAGCATTTTCTAATGGTAATAGAAGTTGTCTATGCCCTAGGACCATATGTAATGCACACGGGAACCCCCATCTTAACAGGAGAGTGAAGATTATTGTAGCATATATTGTTGTCATAATACAAAACTGATTCTCTGCAGTCAGGGTACAAAATTGATCTGATGACAGTCACACGAGTTCATACAATTGGGAAACTTATTTATTGAACTCTCTGGCTGTGTTCACAAGCTCTGTTCTGCAGTACTAACCATGTTCATTCTTTTTCAAGAAATTGACACTGGAATTAAACAATGTACATGAGCTGCTGGATGATGAGCTGCTGCAGCTCATCTTAACATCCAAGAGGTTGTTATTCCTGAAAGTCTGGGCATTTCTAAGTGTCACCTTTATCGAGAGGCTGCTACAAAACCGTGCGGAAAGGAAATGCATTTTGACTACCATAAAGGTAAGACTTTGTGCTTCAGAACTCCCGTTCCCTTCCTCTCTCCTATACCCAGAGAAAGGTGAGGTTCTGCTTACAGAAAGGCCACTTAGAGAAATGTTAACATAACTACCTCTACCGTATTATGTTTTAGCATTATCGTCTGAGAACCACTCACAGCAGTGGGGCTTTCCAGTGTACTTTACCATGTACAGAATACCATAGAAGTTTAATTAACAAGCCCCCAAAATTTCACAAGGCCTTCCTAGACTGAGGCTCCCTCTATTGCTGCTAGTTCAAGCTAGGGATTCTCAATCACCCCGGTCCAGTGTTTATGCCTATTCTTACATCAAGGCAGGTGGGTTGAATCCCACTAAACTGCAGAAAGATCTAAACACATCTCACATCAACAATGCTGTGTTGAGCTAGAGCCAGACCACAACTGTAGCTGGTGTAAACCATGCTGTCATGCTACTTCGTGTGCTAGATTCTGAATTCTGTAGATCCTCACAGACCAGTGCAGATCCCAGGGATGCTTCAGTTCCAGGGGTAAAAGGAACCTTGCTTTTCCCAAAATGTCTTTGGCAGATGATGTTTGCAGTCAGTTTGGAGTGAAAACAGAGTAAAACCTCAAGATTTAAGTCAAACCCAAGGAATCTGGCGTCTCTAGATTCTTCATTAGTCACAAAGGCTTCTTGTCATGAGCTTTAATGAGCTTAGCCTGCTCCGTATACCTGAGACATGATTGTCATGCATGCAGGTCAGGATTTACACAGCCCGACCAGAGAGCAGTGAGGAGGATCAATGGTTGTGCGATATTTACAGGAAGTTCAAATACCTGATTGATTCGGAGCTTAATTATTTTGTCATCACCTACCCACTGGTGTAAACCACAGGGAGAGAGAAGAACCCAGTGACATCTGCAAGCAATGAATGGATCCTTTGGAGGGTGTTAGTAAGGAATTTGAATCTTGGCAGTAGTGCCTCTGAAAGGAAGATATCATTACAGCGAGAGAGAGGCAAGGGACAATTTTACACTCCATCCATTAAAACGTTGGACTTGGGAACTGGCTTCCTGTGTCTCCAGCATCATTTATTCTTGCCCCTGCTTTCTTTTTCCTTGCCAGAACCAAAGGAAGCAGTGAGCCCTTTTTCACCCTTACAGGCCATCCTCGTTTTTTTCAGTAGTTCTCATTGCAGAGCATCAAACCGCTTACCAATGAAGCCCATTTCATTGTTTCCATTTTACAAATATGGAAACTGAGAAATGATTAGTCCAAACTCAGCCTTGGCTTATCTTGACTCAGGTGCAGTCAGATGCACTATCCAGTGTATCACCAATCCCTACAACTTGTTAAGTTTGATATACAGCCTGTGCCTCCTTAACAGCAGATATTAAGAACAAAACATACTCATGGCTACAAAACTCCATGGTTACTCCCACTCACCCAGTTTCCATCAAGTGACTTGTGAGGAGACTCCTGTTCTAGCTTCCACAGTTTCTACACTTTTCAATGCCAAAAATAGCACTGGTTGCACACACGATAAATAACATGGCAGAAGGGACATTTCTTCTGATTCTGGGATTTTATTACCAAGTGGGAGATTTCATCAGGTGCTCTAGAGCATAGATAGATAGCTGTAAAACAGAGAGCTGTAAGTACTAGATGTGTTTTAATTATCTTGCACAACTAGAACCAGGACAGCATTGAGCCAAACCAATAAATCTGGAGGTTTGTCAATAAAATTTCAGCAGGAAATGACTCACTGGAGAACACACAATCTCCCAGTGTGATGGCTTCAGAAGTTGTTAATGTTAACAGACTCCCTCATTTGCATGCAGAGCACTTCGTCGATATACAGTGTATTCTCCTTCACCTGGATCTCCTCCTCCAAGGAAAGCTGTTGTCGGCTCAGAGCTTTCAGCTCTGTCTCAGCCTCTCCTAGTGCATCCTGTAACCTAACAGGGAAAACAGGACAGACATTACTTGAAAATACAGTGATAGTTTTTTTTTCATATGGGATAAGAATTCTGAGGAATTGGAAAAAAAAAGAAAAGATGGAAGAGGCTTCACAGAGAGATATGCAGCTTCTTTTAAAGTGTCCTGCCCTTCCCAGCCTTTCAGGGAGAGTAGCTGGGATCCGATTTACTTTGACTCATTAACATAGTAATCTATACCACAGATTTTCTCTTTTGCCTATTTCCACTTGCCTTTGAATATTTCTTGTAATTTCTTCAACTTCACTTATCAGCCTGTATTGCACTGTGTCATAACAGAATTCCACATTGGGGCGATGGTTTCTTGCTTCCAAGCGGGTTTGAACCACTTTAACAGGTCCTTCTTTATCAGCAATTGCTTGCTTTAAGGCTGCAATGTTCTTCTCCTGTGAGGCAGTCTCATCCATCACCTTAACAAATCCAACAGAAGGAAGTGCTGCACACTGGCTCTTACAATGGTTAAAGTTGTCAACATCTTTAATAGTTAGTTATAGTAATAAAATTATAACACTCATTATGTTAAAATGTTATTTCGTCAAAGGATATTTTACAAAGGTCAGACAGGATTATGATTCCTTTATTTGAGAGCAGGTGACACATTTCTGAGTGAATATGCTCAGCAATTATTTTTTAATATTAACACTCAGTTTTCATGTATCAAATACCAAGCACATTGACCCTGATTTTATAAGTTATTATCCTCTTATATTACAATCATGAAAATTCTGTAGGATCCCCATGTAACTAAAAATCACAAGAGAAATCCTGACTTTACTGATGTCTATAGCAACACCTACATCATGTGATTCCAGAAATTCATCTCTCTAGCAGTGTGCACAGAGCTGAGAAAATGTAAGACAACATTTTTTGCGGGTGTGTGAAGTGGCAGGGGCTATCATTATTGCGAAGGTAAAATTCTTAAAGCAAAGTAGCTCAAGCCAATGGATTGAGAAGACTGGCAGATAATCCAAGCCCATGGTCTCTACTTTATCACTAACTGTCCCCCACTGCTTACCACTGCAAGGAGTGTCTCTAGCTTGTGCTTGGCATCCTTGACTTCCTTCACCCTATTTCTAAATGCAGCATTCACCATCTCACATTGCTTGTGTACGTCATTCGCTGTCTGTGAGAGGATGCCATCAATAAGCACCCTTAATGCCAAAGAATTGTTTCGCTGCTTGTCAGCCTTTTCAACATTTATATTTGAGAAATCTATCCAGTCTTCAGGGCTAACAAAACTGAAAGAGATTCAAAATAAAAGGTCATCGAACGGCACCATCAAACCCTCGGCAACTTCATAAATCTATAGTTACTCCACAAACCTGAGAACAAAGCAATTCTATTAACTGTATGTCCCAGCTAGTGCTAGTTGTGCTGGGAATTCTACAGATACAAAATAAATGTTGCAAGCATCTCAGAACGAAGTAGACAAGGGTAGGATGGAAATGAACTTGCTAAAGTCACACTGCAACTTTGTACCTTTCCCTGATAAAGCAATATGATGTTGTGGGGGAAACATAGCTTATAAACAATATTTCTTAGAACAACTTTCATTAAGCAATCTGTTGTTAATAATATTATTCAGATGTTACTATTAATCAAAGGTAATTATTGACACAGAACGTTCACTTATTCTCTCACACCATTCACTTATAATACGTGGTTGGAGCAATAGCTGGGAAGCCAACCCCCAGCTGTATCCCAAGATTAGAGGGTCATACTTGTGCACCAGTGGCTCACAGGCAGGTGTCTGGAAAGTTCTTCAGAGGGTTCCTTGTTTTATTGGGTGGATATATAAAGCTGTAATTGTAATTTGCATAAAACAGCCAAGACCATTTTGCCTGTAGCCTGAGTTATCCAACTTGTCATTGATGCACGCTAACACACTAGCAGCAAGAGCGGTCAGTCTCCTTGTGTTCCGAGTTTGTCAGTTCTTGTAGAGGCCGTAGTGTCCTTGTGAGAGTGTCTCTTGCACACTGCCTTCTCAGTATGTTTCCTCAGCCAATTTTTCTGTGGTAGCTATTTCTCTATCTAAACCATTCACACTAACTAGCCCACAAAGAAGGGACGCATTTGACAGGTTAGTGACTGAGTTAGAAACTGACTCTACATCCTGGGTGTCCCAGTCCAGCGTTTTCCCCATTAGGACACCCTGGGAGAGGAGAGGAAGCTAGATTAGGAAATATATTCTGGGTTTAAGTAATGTGTGAACTTTTCCTTAGTTTTGAGCCTCAAAAACTGTTAGTGAACTGCAGTTCACTGGGAACATGACTATTGTGGCTTATTTCAGACATGTTACACAGATACTAAAGGGATGGACAGAAGTATAAAAAAACCCCAATCTACAACAGACAGATGATGGACAGATATAGTCTGTTTTACACAAATAATCTTGCTATTTACGGAGACAGCTCATACTGGCTGTATAGTTACTTTCTGTTAATTGAACTAAATAACCACTTACTTTCTTTCTATTCTCGCTGCATTATTCATGTATCTGGTATCAGGAGTGTTGTTTGTCAAGCTAGTACAGTAGTCATCAATCATCAAAGCTGTGAACTTGTCCTTCAGATCCATTTCCAGGTTATATTTTGCTGAACGGTTTAGTCTAGAAGGAGAAACAACCAGACTCTAAGCCAAAGTGTAGGCACTTACATGTTTCCATAACATGCATGCATATATTCATTAAGTAATACAAATGCTGTTATGGAATTCTTAATGTACAAAGTGTTAGTTGCAAAGTCCCAAAATCAAGAGCATGAGGCTGCCTCTATATACATTGGTGGTACAATTCCAATTGGAATTAAAAGCACAGGACTGTATCATGAGAAGACCAGGTGCCCTGTGCAAGTACTTTGAGTTCTAACAAACAGAACTTCTCAACATTACTGATTAAATGGTATGAATTAGGACTGTCCTCCTTGTAACTGGTTAGCACTGAAGGTAACTTTGGACCTGTGCTCAGCCTGACCCTACAACTTCTCAGGAATATGACTGGCCTACTTTTCAGCTTATCAGTGTTCAGTTACACACTTTGCACCTGATTTGCTCATCAGTTTGTTCCAGCGTACGTCCAAGCAAAGCAATAACCCCCTGGAGGATTTCAACTTCCTTCACCAGTTCCTGTTCCACTTCATCATGCACCAAGTCAATCCCAACTTTCCTCTGCCTAAACAAAAAGAGGAAAACCCATCAGCCCTTGTTGAAATGCCTGCAGCTAACAGAAGATGATGAAGCCCAGCTTTCCAAACTGAAGACTTTTTCTTGCCACATAGAAGTTTTTCCTTTATGACCTGGGTTCCCCAGTGTTACAATAAATCAGACTGTTACTCCACTGTCCTTAATTTACAGCCTCTTCTATTACTTGTTAAAAGTTGATTACCTAGATTTTTTTTTTTTCCTCTCTCTGAATGCTTTTCTTCTAATTATCATCTCACCTGTTCAGGAGACATTTTTGGGCAATGACAAGTGGCTCTTTGCAGCTCTCCAATGATTTCTCCAGGCGAGTCTTGAATGTTAACAGTAACTCTGTCTCATGCACAACTTCTTCAAGTTTGTTACTTAATTCTTGCTTCCAGAATTTTATTTCTTCCCGTCTCTGCTCTGCAGAATGAAAATTGTAAACAGGTTTTAATACAAGCCCATCTCTACATGTGAGACCACTGCGGGTCAGATCTTAGATATGACTAAAAATAGACTTATTCCATAGTGGAGTGGATGTAATGCTGTAGGCTGATGTGTGGACAGTTTTGCAACCCTGTGTCAGGAATTTTGGTTGCAATAGCCTTCTGTGTGGTTTATCTGTGTTACAAAATAAAGAGTCTGCCTCAAAATATTTCATAAAATATTTTTAGTTTTTCCATGAAATCAAAGAGCATGACAATGACATATACTCCTATTCACTAGCAACTGATTTTCTAAGTCTTGCAGCTCAACGTTATCTTGACATTTGCAGAATACCTGGGATTACCTAGTTTCTTGTTGACATCACTTTGGGTTTTCTGAGTTGTCTTTTCTATTTCATCCAGCAGCCTCTGACTCTCAGCTATCATGCGCTCTGATCTTGATTTCAGAGACTCTGTACTGGCACACTGCAT